GGTGGCAGTTCGGCAAACCCTGCCGCCCAGTGCAAATACGCCACAGTGGATGTACTGGTCCTTCAAAACCGCCAATACACATCCTCAGCCTTGCAAAAAAAAAAAAAAAAAAAAAAAAAAAAGCATCGCACTGGTGTTTCGGCGACGCTTGGTGCGCAGCTCTTTTCCACCTCCTCGGCAAAGAGAGGCTCGAAGGTAGTGGTGGTATAACACAGTTGCTGCATCCACGCACATTGCCTTTTCCCCCCCCCCTTCAATTTGGACCATTTCTCCATTTATGTGTGTCATCATTGCGCAGGGGCCATGCTAATCTTCCGCGTACCGTTCCAATTTTTTTAACGGATGTCCTGCAGGACACATCCATGCACATTGCTAATCCACAAAAAGAAAAAGGGCAGCAGAGAACTGAACACGATTAGTAAGTCCGCCATGATTGGTAAGACCCCCCCCTGAGATGGGGTAAGCCCCCCTAAGATGGGGTAAGCCCCCCCACGAGATGGGGTAACCCCCCCTGAGATGGGGTAAGGCCCCCCCCTGAGATGTGGTAAGCCCCCCCCCTGAGATGTGGTAAGCCCCCCCCCCCTTGAGATGTGGTAAGCCCCCCTGAGATCTGGTTAGTGGTGAAATGTCGCTCAAACCGGGAGTTCGGTGGTTCTGCCCAAATGCGTTGAGCCGCGGCGATTGACTGTTCCATCCAGGGGTAAAGCACTGTACACCCCTAATTATGGGCAGGGGATGGGCAGGGAGGCATCGCAGCACACCCCTAATTATGCATCTCTTTGGTTTTTTGAATCATTTCGACAAGTAACAATTAAAATTTTTTATTTAACTTTTGAAAGTACTCGTAACTTCGTAGCACCGTGTACACTTTTTCTTTTCTGAAACTTTGGAAAGGCATCCAATTGCACTTGGTCTCTCCTCAATTCTACTACACAGAAAAAAACAAAAAAAAAGGATTAAAAAAGAGAGAGAGAGAGAAAGAGAGAGAGAAAGTACAAAATCCACTTACGCCTCCTCTTGCTCCCGCCTTTTCTTCTCCTCTTCCTCTTCGAGTTTTGTCCTCAAATTCGCTCGCTGCAACCATCATCATCAATCCATTTCCATCAAATGATTCCACTTTTCAAAAATGAAATCAAACAGTTTCTCACTTGTCCCTTCGAGTGAGGAGGCTTACCAACTCATGAGTCATAACTCTGAGTTAACCTGTGACAGCTTACACTACTTTTTACTCCTTTTTAGTAGTCGTCTGTATTCCTAGGTACAGGAAACTACCGCCTACAGAACAGATCCTGTTCATTACAGGCAGACAAAAGAAGACATTGTTCTGACTGCGTCGCAGGAATTGCAGGACAAATGGACCTGTCGGACCGGCCAGACCTGTCAGAGGTGATTGATGACGAACAGAGATGTCCACTCATTAAAAACCTGGTACTACGAAATGTTCATTCATGAGTCATTTCGTAGCACCAGGTGGTTAGCGGGGGGAACCCCAGTTTCAGGCCCTGGGAAAAGGGCCAAAAACTGATATTTGGGTTTGGGGGTCCAATTTTACCTTTGTTTTTTTGTTTTATTTTTTTTGGGCCTGTTCTTGTTTTGGTTCGAGGTTTGCTGTATGCCAAATTTGGTGTCATTTGGAGCATCGCAATTTCCTCTGTTAAGATTTCTGAAAGGCATTCCACGATGCAGACCCCACATTCGAATTTCAGGGGGTCAAGGTGGTCTCAAGCCAAGGGAGGCCAAGGGAGGCCCGTTCAGAAAGGTCGCAGCCAGGGGCACCACCTTAGGAGTCGAGTCCAACAGGACAGGCACTCGGTAAACAGTCGCATCCCAAACGCAAAAGTTGCATTCTACAAGCAAAAGTCGCGTCTCATTTTGAAAAGTCATACATATTGAAAAGCCATGTCGCACAGGCAGAGGACACTTCTCCAGGCAAAAAAAGTAGTGTCCCACAGGCAAAAGAGTCACATCCCACAGTCAAAAGTCATGTTCCACAGGTGAAAAGTCGTGACTCAAAGACTCAAGCAGCAGCACGGCAATGAATATTCGGGAAAAGTACACCAGGCCTTTGACATTCTAAACCAAGCAGGCCGTGGGCATGTGGTACCAGGTTCAAGACTCCAAGTCAAGCCAAAGGAAGCGAGGCTGGGACGAGTTGAAGCTCAGTCCAAGTCAATATAAGGACTGGCCAGCCACATTTCAGGAGAGATTGCTCATTCGTGAGAGGTGTGGAAGTGTTGCTGAAGCGCTTGTGCGCTATCTGCGAGTAGCATGCGCGCGAGAGCCCTGCTGGGCAGCGCTGCACTGAGAGGGAAGGCGGCCATAGCCGCATAATTAGTAGTAGGGATAGAGCCTGTCTCTTATACACATCTAGATGTGTATACTCTCTCTCTCTCTCTCTCTCTCTCTCTCTCTCTCTCTCTCCTTGTATAGCTCAACCTCCCTACTGCACTCAACTCTCCTCCCTCTCCTAGATCTCCCCTGAATGCAACTGCAGTGTGTTGCCCTACTCTCGCGGCTATGGCCGCCTTCTTCCTCAACCTTCTAACACGAGCTATGGTAACCAGACGTCTTCTTCCCCGTTGGACACTCGCTCCTCCTCCAGCGCCCACCTTCCATCCACGTTGCACTATCGCGCAAAGCAACCCGCAGCGCTTCCACAACTTGCACATGAACAGTTAATCCTTCTTGCCAATGCTGTTGGGCTTTTATACTTGCTGATCCGCCTTCAGACATCTTCTGTTGGCCATAGGTTGGTTCCCTTTGCCTTTGTTCCCTGGCTTGTGGAAGCTTGCAGACTCTTCTTCGGTTTGGCGTCTTGGATGGATCGACTGGCACCTGGCCTCAGGCCTCTGGCGATCCTGGCTAAAGGTTTGTGGTGCCTTCTAAAGACCGACTCTTCAACCCATAACTGTTATCTACAAGGGAGTTCCTACCATGATCTACTTAACTAGCCTGCCAACCTTTTCCCCCGAATACAACATACAGTCATTATAGCTGTATCTAGACTGAAAGATGCCTCAAATACAGCTATAATGACCGTACGTTGTATTCGGGGGAAGAAGGTAGGTCTCTGCTATCATGGAAAAAACTTACAAAGTACTACAAACGAAACTAGTAAACTACTCTTCTAGAGTATTCGGGCACATTGTACAAGCGGCTGGAACCACTAATGGAGCACGGAATGGGACTTGGGATTCGGGACTGGTCCTGGGACTAGGGACTGGAACCTGGGACCTGGTACCTGGGACTCGGGGCTCTGGGACTCTGGTGCAGCGTGAAATCCTTTCACCTACGTTTACTGGGTTCTCTGTTTTTCCACCAGATTCGAACAGCGACGAGTCTGTAGTACTGTGTACCATTTAGGACTGTCCCTCCGTTCCTGACTGCAGGCACCCTCTGCATCTGGACACTCCTTTGTAAGACACACAATCAGCTTTTCGCATGCCGTCCATGCTGGAAAAATGGGAAAGTTTCGAGAATGGGAAAAATGGAGGGAGGAAAACCGGAATTTGACAAATTATATATTGCTCAAAAACAAAACTCATTGAAAATGACCCCCCACATTTCAGAAAGGTAATCACCTGTCTTTTACTCACAGGCAGGGTCAGTGAGTGCTGGGGAGTGAAGAGGGAACAGGCCCAACAGGAAGACGTGGAGGAGGGGGGGAAGGGGGAAAGGGGAAAGGGGAAGGGGCGAGGGAAGGGAAGGGGGGGGGAGAGGCGGGAAAGAGAGAGAGAAGTTATAGTAATATACCTGTCGGGAAGGAAGCTTGTCTCCACCGTCGGATCTTTTCCAAACTTGCTCAGCTTTGGCCTTTTCCCGCCATTTTCATCTGAAGAAGAGTGATCAAAATTGCACGCAAAGTCAGGGATATGACAAAGAAATTTCATGGTAGAGGTGCTCGCAAGAACGTGAGAGCTCTTGAGCAAAACCGATGTTCGGATGATGGCGTTTTCCTTTTCCATCAACGTATCCAACACTCAATAGCAGCAGAAAGAGAGCGAGGGAGACACAGAGAGAGGAGGTGGTCCCACGGCAGACAAGAGTATAATCAAGGAGGAAGAAGCAAACAAAATACGAGAGGAATCATGGACTTTTTAGGCCTGAACGTGGCCATAATTACCAGCAGATACACGAGGAAAATTCCACTGCTACTACCCCTTGGGCACTCATAGTTTTGCCCCTTCCCCCCCCCC